CATCCTTAAGCTGATAACTATTTACAAGTTCATTATAGCAACAATTGAGTCTACTGTAGACATTACGATATATTTAGTAAATTACAAGTTGAGTATTGAGTATTTATTTAAACTTTGATCAAACTAAAATTTATATTTGTGAATTTTGATTACATTATTCAATTTTTAATGTAATTTTTTAAGTTATTGAGAATAATGTAATAATTCTAATGTATTTCTTCATTGTGGTTGAAATTCCATCTGTTATATTTTAATCTAGTAAAAATGACATAAATTTAGATTTACTTAATAGTATAAATAGATAAAATCTATTTCTTTTTATATTTCCGATACAATGAAGATAAATTCCTTTGAGGACGTTGAGAAATAAAAAAAAGCGAAAAATCGTATTTACTATGAAACGTGAGAGTTTTGCAAGGGAGAGAAAGAGAGAGACACGTTTTCTCGTAAACTGTGGCCCTGAAGACCACCCTTCGCATCACCTCTCTCCCTACTCGCAATACAGATATTATCCACAGAGAATCCTTAAGTATTTCGTAGTCACCTTTCGATCGTCGTAAATCAATCCGCAATTCGAAATACCGTCATAAATTGAATTTATCGACGATTTAGATCTCTAATAGCAAACGATGAATCATGTAAAGCATGGCAAGAAGAAGCGCACACCAAAAAAAAATGTAGACAAACAAATTATGGTGTAATGAAATTTCGTGTATCGAATAAATTCTATCATACACAGACAGATATATCAATATGACAATTACGCGTTTTAGATAGCGGAGAACAATAAAAGTTAATGTAATTCGTTTCGTCAATTTTCTATATTAGTGGAAAACCCTTTATTCTCTTCTCTCTCTCTGTGTGTCCTTTTCCTATCGTGCATCCAAATATAAATATTTTAATACAATATATGCGTATCTCTTGTTTATCTAATTATAATATTAATAATACGAGCGCGATAACGGGTCATAATCAGTCAGCGATACAAACCACTTGTTATAATTTATCTATCTACATTTGTATACTATGAAATTATTCGTGTGTACTATCTATCTGCGAATTGAGCATTTTATTGAAGAACATTATAGACACCAACTATAATTACAAACAGTTCAAACATGTTTCTGTAACGCTCCCATTGACACATTTAGAACGCCATCTATAATTCATATGCGCATCATAGTTTGTTGTAACACCCTCATACTTATAAATGAAACGTTGCCATTTACTATTACAATATTTCGTTACTATCCTCAAACTGCTCATTTATTAACAATTGACCAATTCATTTAAAATCTTGTTTCTGTAATGCTTCAATAATTTGTCGTTGTTATTTTTTGTTTCTGCCACTTTTTTTGAGCTTAGTTACTTCAATAATTCAATGGATTTTGTAGTTGCAATATTTAAAATTTATGTTATATAATAATTGAATTAGTGAAGCTTTAGTATCGCCATCTATTGAGCATAAATTTCATAATTACTTCTATAAAGATACCAAATTTACTTGTCACATTTACATCACTTATATCATAATTTATTGGATATGAATAACTCACACTTATAAAATATATGTTGCCTTACGTTATTTTTCGACTTACGCAATTTTAGTTTAGTTTCTACAAGGCGTCACGTGGTAGTGTGGTGGCCTATATTGGATAAAATTGCCAGATCGGTCATACATATTCCAACATGGAAATCTTTGCTGGACTTTAAGGTATCTAAAGATAGGTTTATACCACAGCGAAATTTTGTGTTTCACGTAAGTTGATTTTTCGACTTACGCAAAAACATTCGGACTTCAATTAATAACGTAAGTCGAGGACTTACTGTATAAAAAAAATGTGTAATACTCCTATATTCATTCATATTTATGTCTCCATCATTTGCAAAGTAATATCATATTTGATTATGCAACTCTCTCATACTTTATTAATATATAACAAAGACAAACACAAAAGTTATGAAATCAAATCTCAAGGCAAAATTAAAAAAAGGTATAACTAATGCATCCTTATATGATGAAAAATTCACTCATGTTGTAATTATTATGCCTCTATTTCTACTATTGTTTTTTGTGTCATCAATTAATCGATTTCGTATTTTTTTAAAACAGATTTTTATCAATTTATTATTGATATAAATCTCTTTTGGCCCTATTTGTATCCCTTTCTGGTTTATCAGCCCCCACAAATTTGTGTTGGCCACACGGCTAATTTCGTAATTCTATATGCAAATCTTCAATAGATTGTAACTATTTAATTTTAAGCTTTATTCTGTAACGCTATTAAACATTGTTGTCACATTTATCAACACATTTGTCATATGTTACTATATAAAAATATGTGGTCTAATATTAAAATTATCGATTTAAACATTAAACATAAATCAGCATCTCATAAATCAACTTTAATACGTGTTTTATTAAAAATATATGTATTTATGGAATAATAGGTGTTTGCATTATTATACCTAAGTTGTTTGCATCAGCGACGATGTTGAAGTAGTTTATCATAAGGGTTGTAACATATGAATATTGCAGGATGTTGGAGTCAGCAGTAAAAGCCCTTCGATCTGGGTCACATGTCAGCAAAATTGTATATGTACGAAAACATATTTCATTGATATATAAATACCAGAGCTATGAAAGACTGCGGTCAATAGCTCTTTGTAAGTATGTAAGACCATTTGTACAATAAATTATTCTTATAATTTAAATTTCATGCATTTCTTAAGTTTAATGATGATTAATTATTATATTATAAAAAAAGTTCAACGTACACAAATCATCATTAACTATAGATTATAATTTAACTATAGGTTCAAGTTTGATGTGAGATAAAAATAAGTTTCAGATTTTCTTTAGATATTAGTAGCTTGTAGTAACTAGAATCTACTTGTTTTTACTCATACTTAATTATTAACAAATCATTTAAATATATACATAAAATAAATGTGACAAATAATTAATACTAATAAAGTTTTGAAGGTATTTTGAGGCTTTTTTTGTATAAAGAATATCCAGTACTGTTTGAAACCCGACTAATCGAAGACTTTAAAACTGCATAAAAAATCGATCATTTCTGTATAAAAAATACTTGTTTGTGCAATTTTTATTATGCTAAAGAAAAATGTACTTTGCTTTGAACATTTCATATTGTGATTCCGCACTGATAGAAGCCGCACTATGCGAGGTATTGCTGCATTTATTTAGAAATTAAAAATACACATCTGCTTGAATATGAGTTTTTGATCACCAAAACATATTGAATTACAATACTGAAAATGATAAATTTGTAATGTATACCGAGCTTGTAACAAAATATTGTTTATTCGTTGATAAAATATGTTCGAATTTGGAATTAAATTTTGCTCTTTCGATTATTTTGATTGCGAGTAAAAATAACCATTTAAAGATGCGTATATTTCTATAAATATATATACATTGTAATTTAAAAGCTTTAATTCAACGAAAAAAGTTTATTTACTTGACAAAACGAACTTAATTAGAGTAATTATATCAATAAAACTTAGAAATTAAGGATTTTTTAAGTTTGTTATCTTTATTTTATTATGTCACATTACATAGTAGCATTCCTCAATTTTAATGAGTCGCAAAATGACAGCTGTAACCTAATGATATAAGATAATAACTTTGCATAATCTACATATGACCATTGAGCGGTAGCTGGCGAAATGTGTGGTTTTAAAAGAAGAAGAACTTTCAATAAGGCTTATTTAATATAATTTAAGCGTTCAACAAGTGATTAAATTTAGAAGTGAATAGCTTTTAAGTGTTAGAAATAATTATAATCTAGAAATTAAGATTTTTTTGTTTATAAGATTTTCTAAATTTGATTTTGTTATATTGTAAATCAAAGTTTTCCTCAACTTTTGGGTTACGTTTCATTTTTAATGTGTCGCAAAATGACAGCTGTCACAAAATGACATAAAGTGACAACTTTTACATAAGGCGTACCCCATACAAACAAATATGTTAGGTAAAAGTTGAGAAACGCTAGTGAATAGAAATTGAACAGAAAATGAAAAATATTTATTTTCCATGTGTTCTTATTCAACAAATAGAATTAAACAAAGTAAAACAATTGACAAAGCTTTTCGTAACCTATTGAATTGTACAAGTCAAATAAATTGGTTGTCTTTATAGGCAGCGTAGATGCATACTATATCAATCGGTCCGCTAATATTGACACTCCCCTTCTTTTTCTTCATTACATTTCAATGCTCCACTTCGCAAATCCACTCTAATTACAGAAGGTCGTAAGAGGTAATTCCGTTCATTCTACATTAATGAATCCCAACTGAATTCATTCACGCAAAACTAAATTTTCCTTTTCATTATATAATTCATATAATTTTTATTTTTAATTATTATTATTATTTCGTTCGTTTGGTACTTGCACGTCGTCCTTCCACTATGCAGATTCGCGCGATGAATTAGGGAAATGAAGTACTTCACTTCGCCAGTTAATTAGGATATGAAAACCGTAGACGGGAAGCGTAATGCAGTCATCCCTATAAAACCCCGGAATGATTTTAATTTTATTTTACGCGAAATTCTCTCTCGCTCGAGTGCAATTTGCACAAGGCGGGCGCATGTATATATATTTACTGAAACTGAAGCGAACCGCATGAAACACGTATATAATTAATGTAAATGCATGCACGGTGAAATCTAATTCAAAGGACATCTTTCATACGCGGACGCTCCTTTTGTTAAGGACAATCTCTGTGGTCTTGATATTACATTTACACGTAGAAAATAAACTTTACAGTATTATAGTGTTTACTCAAAGCGAAATTTGCGTTTGTTTATAAATTTAATGAAAATTTATAATAAATGAAAAACTTTGTTCATTCAATATCTATGCATTTTCCAAATTACAGTTTATTTCCATAAATTTATTAAATTTACGTTTCCAAGTTGTTGGAAAACCGAAACCATTATTAAAAATAAGAATTAAAGTAAAAAACAATGACTTGGTTCAATTATATAGTGCAGTTTCGATCATTACGGATTGAAATTTTCAAAACAAACTAAATTTTAATTGACAAAATGAAAATAAATTATATAAAATAACTATACAAAATATGTTTTATACATAAATGACCGTTTTTCATATGTGCAGTTAAAACTCTCTTTGTGAGGTTTTAAAGTCCTCTCTATTAGTATTGGATATTGGCGGAACTGATTTCATAACTATAGTTGCATCTTTCTACCTAGCAGTCAATATACTTTGTTGGCTTTTACCAAATCCTTGAGTAAATTATTGAATTGAAATACATTGATTACTTTTATATTTTAATATGTTTTAGTATAATTAATTTGATGAATCGAACGTAACTTCACTATTGTATTGGGGGTTAACATACGTTCTATCCGTTTTTTCTAAATAAAGAGGACACAACAACAGAAAATTACATCAAATACATAATAAGTTAGCGAACAGAAGGTGGTATCGAAAGTGTTCACTTTTGTCCATGTCCATTGTAAAGGCAGTTAGAAAAGAAAATACAAAAAAGAACAAGACTTACATTAACACCCAATATGTTTTGCAACGCCATCTCTCGATTGTTATGCCTGTTTTTGCCTTCCAACATTGTTTGCTTTTTCATTTATATGATTGTTGTAAATAATATCAATCAAAAGTATTGGTTGCTAGGAAATGTTTGACATTAAATCAATTAGTGTCGATACGTAAGTTGTCAAAAACTAAGAAAATGCGACATTGTTTAGGAAGATTACTAAATTTTGCGAAGACCAGTGCCTCGATTCAGACCAGATGGAGCTCCGACTCCATACAATGCATCTTCCACAAATGTGACATAATGCCAGACATTATCTGTAAAGCTCCAGAGGCCGAAGCTACGGTCTGCTATGAAGAGGAAAAGGTAGGAATGTTATATAACTATTGTACAGCTATATAATAGGAACGTATCCAAAATAGAATACAATAATAACATGAGCTTGACCTTACGAATTGTTTTGAGGTATTTATTTATGTATATAATCTAAAACGAGTGCCAACTTTAAATGTATCTAAAATGTTTTCAAACATATGCAATCGTTCGATTCAGTACGTTTGTTACTGAGACGATATTAAAAAGCATATTTTATAAACATTCTTAGGGATTGATTGTGAATGTTTTGATCATGAATAAATTCAGTTTTTGAGTATTTTCAAAGTAAAATAAAAATTATTGTTGTTTTCAATAAAAATGTTTGAATTGAAACAGTTGTAATCGTTTGATACATGAATAAATTTTAAATGCATAGTTTTAACGAAATTGGTGATTAGATAATTCCACTTTCTTGGATATTTTCTAGAAAATTAAGACACAATTGAAAAGGTGGTACAATGCGCGTACCACCGCCCCACTTAGCATGTTTAAAGGTGGTACATTGAGTGTATTTCATCTATATTTTGTTTGTCTCTTTATAAACATCAAATGTACTTTTCAGGTGAAACTGGGAAAAGAGCTGACGCCTACGCAGGTGAAGGATGTGCCGAAAATGACGTGGGATACGTGCCCTGACGCTTACTACTCGATCTGTATGGTTGATCCGGACGCTCCGTGCAGGACGGCGCCGTCACTCCGTAACTGGTTGCACTGGTTGGTAGTTAACATCCCGGGCCAATGCTTCTCCGATGGCCAAACCCTCACCGAATACGTGGGAGCAGCTCCGCCCAAGGACACGGGCATCCATCGGTACGTTTTCCTCGTGTACAAGCAATGTGACAAGCAGTATTTCCACGAGCCGACCATTACCGCGTGCTCGGCGGAGAACAGGTGCAATTTCGATTTGCATCAATTCACTAAGAAGTATTCACTGAAGGATCCGATCGCCGGCAATCTATTCCACGCGAAATGGGATTGCTACGTTCCGGAGCTACAAAAACAGCTCGGCATTGAACCCTAGTAAATTCACCCTCTATCTTCGTAGCTTCCATCTAATGTTATCAAATTTCCCCTGTTCACAGCGTGTTAATAAATGGTTGCATAATAAATGTGCATGTTTCTTTATAAGATAGGTTTTATATAAATAAATTTATAGTAGTGAATACCCAGCGCATCCACCATATTTATATATTGCATCCACAAAATGCGTGTACATGTACGAAATAAATTCCGATTTTTATAAACAAAAACAAGAAATATGCAACTTTAAATCAACAAATCATCAACATCTAAATACAAATTAACAATGAATTCTATAGATTTTATTATAATTGATATATTTCGTAACTTTTGTCTATATCGACTAAAAATAATAATAAATCGAACTAAATTTATCAAAATAAACAAACAAAAAAAGGCTGCAATTTGTATAATTTCTACAACCTCGATTTGCTGATAAAATCCACACACATACATTTGCTTTGATATCTCAGGGTTGAGTTGATTAGAGGTTATCAACAATTTTATTGCTTATTAAGGTGGCGTTACATAACTAAGTATATATGCAAGTTTGTAGTAAAAATAAAGAAATCTATAAAATATCGATATTAGTATGTGATTTAAAAATCTCATTGACCTACAGTAGTAGTCTGGGTACTTATCTACCCCATTATAATGGGATGAATTCTAATATTTTTCATAGATGATGATAATGAGCTGCAAAATATTTTTTCATGGATACTTAGAATGTCCTCATTACCCCCCAAGAACTTACTTAATAATAAGTTAAAAGTATTTAAGTTAGCACTCTTAATAGGCAATTGTAGCTGTCAATTTAGTTTCACTGTTATTTGTCAGTGACTGCTAACCATACATTACTACACCAGATTGTACAATATGTAGTAGTTGCAACATCTATTTCTCATGTCACGCATAATATAAATCCAGCATTATCCATCATAATCAAACCACAGGTACATACTTTTAAATTCTATATACTTAAAAAAAAACAGTTGTGACATTTATTACTGATTGATACAATTTATCTTCTTAGATCAAATAGAAAATTCAAATGAATACAGTTTTTTTAACCCAATAGTAATAACAATATGTAGTTGCAATAATTATACAATTATATGAATAATTACAGCTATGATATAATCATACTGCATCATCGATCGTCGGCCTCAATTTTATATAAATACAACGCTTAACAACACATATATTTAAAATAATAACTAAAAATATTAATTTGGATGATTACTTAACAAAGTTCGTATAGTTTTTAAAACATTAATATTTTCAAATAAGAAAACTTGCCCTGTAGTTTCTAATCATTTCTACATCAAATTTGATAAGTAACAAATACTTTTTTTGATTGAGTTCAAGAACATTTACTTTTCACTTCAAATATATCTTTTAGTATTAAATTTTAGTGTAGTATTGGTTCTATCTGTGACAAAACAATTAAATCACTAAAGTATCTTCTAGACATCACTAATTTTATATTAAATTATTCAAAAATTTTTCCAAGTTCTGTATAATTTGTCTAATGTAAACAATTTTTTTGTTGGTTTTTCTTTACTTAATTCATTTAAGTAGAATTATTGAACAAAGGCAACAGCGTAGGCAACAGTAGTTTCATTGAATTTTCCAATAGAAAGTGACTTTCTTTCTTAATATTTACATAAAATGTTTAAATTTAGTATATATAAAAATCAATGAAAAATGATAGAAAAAGGTTGAGAGACCAAATTAGGACAAGTTTAAACATTTTGGAATTTGAAACCAAAGGATAATAAAAGGCTTCAATTTTTCTAACTTTTTTTTCTTACCGAAACTCAAATTGAAATACGATATACTTGATATCGGTTTCATGAAATCATATTAGATTGTAAGGGTTTGCGAATCGATTGCAACGAAAAAGGGTTTACGGGCATTTTGCTTCAATTACACGAATAGAATCAACATCCCAAACGCAATTATTTTATTCCCAAGGCCGCAGAGATTCTAAAACGCCGTTGATCTCAAGGGAATGGATCCAAGAGCTTTGCGAAAGAAAAACATATTTTCCGAAAGTTCTCATTCAGAAATAATGCAAGACAAATTGAATGAAACTTAGTTCAGGACTTAGCGTATTAACGAGCGTATTTACATAACAAATAATAATATTCTAAACAAGCAAATTCTCCTATTCTATGGTACTTTTTAAGCTACTTACCGACCATCTTAATGTACATGGCGTTTTGTCGACTGGTATCGATGATTATTCCAGCGCTTTTCTGAAAATTAAGAACAAAAAATTGTATTAAAAAAAGAATATAAATGGAAAATGTTAAAAAGCAATTTATTAAATTAAGTACAGTGTATTGTGCGTATATCAAAATATAATTATTAAATTGTAACAAAAATATAAAAACGAATGCTTAAAAGAATACTTCGAGAGGAAGAAAGAAAATAAAGAGAACAAGAGGTTTTTTTTTAATATTTTATACAATGTTTTCAAAGACATCAAAGAGATTTACTTTTTTGCCTTTAAGGTAAAATTAATTTCTCTGTGGAATAATTCAAATAAATATATTCTTTTATGTTATTTTTTTTCTTGTTCGTAAAGAAAATTAAGGTAGAAATGTTGGATTTGTTAAAACGACAATTGTATTATAGTACTTGAAAATATGCGAAATAAAGCTTTACTTCATTTGTATTCTGAGGAGAAAGTAAATTAAGAATTTAATGAAGGAGGAAAAAAAGATGATGATGATGATGTTCACCATCCCAATTAATGCAAGTGGGTTAAAGTTGAGGAGAGGAAATTCCATCCGAATTCCGCATGCGAAATGGGAGCATCGGACATAATAATGCTAGAGGAATTGGGTCAAGTGCAGCGATGAATACAGCCATCTATGCTTATTGTTTTAGAAGTACTGAAGCTCTGTGTCAGGCCACAATCATTAACAGTTTGTTTGCTTTTCTTCATATTTATTGTTTGTTGGAGAAATTGAATTAGAATCGATTTAATTAAATTAACTATGTACTGTCTCCAACTTACATAACTTTATACGTAATTTGTAGCAAATTTGATATTATCTATAAGCGTAAATAATAAAGATATAATTTATGTTTTTTAATGAAAATTGATTCATTTAAATTTGTACAGAGTTTTGTAAGTAATTAAACATTTTTTATAATTATCAGTAATGACTTAATGTTAAGTTAATTATTACATAATTCATATAACTTTTGCGTCCTTTAAACAGATGGCATTCCTTTAGAAAAGATTTATATTATTTCGACTGTAATTATTATTAAACTCTACTGTAACTTTCATGTATTACGGATATTCTGATATACTCGTTTTTATCTATAGTAGTCTTAGCATTCATTTTCGTTATTAAGTAATATTATTAGTTTTTGAGATATTCACTATAGACTAAAGACACGTTATTTTTCATTCTTAAAGTTTGTCAAAAAAAAACTCAAAAAATTAGTTATCGCAGATATTCTATTATAATTAAAATCTTACAGAAATTTAGAACATTCCTTGATTTGTATCCTATGTTAATTTTCGAGATATTTGCTAAAAAATAATGAAGTACATAATTTTAGAGTTAGAATGTACTGCAGATAAAAAAATATACATTTTTACACATTTATTATAAAAATGTGAATGTATGTTACGTTCAAATTCAATTTTAAAATAATTATTGAGTTTCTCAAAGCTCTATACATTTTTAAATTCATTCATTACAACAAATTTTTATGAACAAATAAAAAATCCTTTAAAATTTGAGGAAATATCTAAATTTTCTTATGAATTTAGTAAAATTCGCTTTAATAACTGCATGAAAAGATTGTTAAAGAAGTTTTATATATTTTGTAAAAATTTAGGTCAATAGGCTTTCTGTCCAACACATTTCATTATTAATATGTTATATATGATTTCTTGATAATTTTTGTATCATAAATTTGATATTATTCTGATAGCGAAAAGTGAAAAACTGTACAATCTCAATATTATAATGAAAACTATATTTGTTTAACACTTTTTGTTATTAGTACGTTAAATTTTTTTAATATTTCTATACTGTGTATATTTGTTCATTATTGATGCTTCTCTTCGTTGAGTTAAGTGAGGCACCCATAGAAAAATTTATTCCGTGTATTTAATACTACGTAATTATGGCTCTTTATAATATATGAAAAAACAGGAATCATTGACCTCATGCATACCAACCCCATTGTATTTAATGTTCTACATAACCTACAACTTAACCTGTCATAACCTAACCTAACTTATTGTATTATTAAAGCGCAAAATGTCAATACAGGTTATGAGCATTTATTTTATTTATCGTATAACGAATACAACTTTGCACACTTTTTTATTATTAGTATTTAGAAACGGATATTTGTTATTTGTCAAAATCTAAATACATGATTTTTTTAATTTGCTTAATATTTCATTTATTTCTAAACGCTTTTTTGTTATTACCTCGTATTATATCTCCACATTACGTAATAAAAATACAACTTGACCTATCATAATCTAACGTAACTATACTATCAAAGCGTAAAATATGAAACATGTAATGAAAATTCTATTTGCACACTTTTTTTATAATGAATATTTCGAAATGGTTTTTCGTTATTATTTGTATTATTTATGAAGACAATCTATACATACTGAATCATAAATTTCTATATTGAGTATATGAACGTCACAAATACTATATAGTGTATTACATTGCTTTATATTCAGATCTTGTGTTGCATTACTTGAATAACTTAACATGCAATCTTATATAGAATTGAAACTTGGAAATAACAATGTTAATGCTGATAAATAAATGATGCACGTAAAATCGATAAAGATGACGACATTAATAGTGGCATCAAACAACAATACATTGTTTCCATCAATCCAAAGAGTATATAGTGTTTTGGTAAGCACTTTTTCAACAGTTTACTCATGAAAATGATTTATATTCATTTTGCGGGGAAATAAAGCTCCATGAGAAATTTATTAGCTTTTAGTGTACAACCGAAAAAAAAAATTGTAACACGCTACCCATATACATGTACTCTGTTGAAATTATGATCGTGCAGAGACATAAAGCGCGATGATTTAATATTTTACGTCTTAATAAACAAATCTTGGAGCAATTTACAAATGACACCATTCCAAGCGCCTT